ATCTGTTTTTTGGACATACCTTTTTTTACACTGTATTTTTATCTGAAATTCTTGTTGCATAAAGAATATTTGTTTTGCTGATGACTTGCCAAAATCCTCTCTTTCCTAGCCATATTTTATGATGAATGATTCGGTTGCTAGAAGAAAATTAATCCAGTACTTATTGTCTACTTGCATATGTTACTTTAAACAACATTTAGAAGTGTGTTGCCCAAAATACTTGGGAGGACTTGTCATGGTAATGCTGCTGGTATCCATGGAATTGGGGAGGCTTATATGTAATGCTGTGCTATGTCATAAATCTAAACGTGCATAAGATGTTGCATTTGATGTTCACAAACTTCAAACGAATATTTTATACTTTCTTTAATTGGGGTGTACTTATTAATCTTAGACGTAACTAATCTGCCAAGAAGGTATCAGATGTTCAATTCCACCGAATGTGTAACCCACGATAGTAAATGGATGTGTGTTGTAGCATTGTTTACATTAGGTAACACATGGTGAATCACTTAGCATTATGCAATGGGTTAGTTTTGGCCTGCTGTGACTGTTTTAACTTGGCAGTTCTATTGTTAATGATCGACGTAACAGGGAGCATTTCTCGTATTCAAGCAATGACTATAATGGTCAGGTAACCTCATCATTCTTAAGTTGGTGCACGAATACAAATGGTGTAATTTTTGTGTAATGCTGGGTATAGGCTGCCTTCACCATTTTTAATTTTGTTCTATTAGGTGAAAGCGAAACTAGAAGGATGTATTCAAAGGCGTGAGGGACTTCAAAACGAGGTTTGTCTTTTATTTTCCAAAGGATTAAAAGAGCATAATTCCAACTTCTATTTGTTTTTCCTTGTTGGCATCATTCGTACGCATCAAATTAAACAGGTTGGTGCTAACTGTAGTTTCATGATTTCATGTACTTGTTCAAAACTTTGCTGCAGTACTTATAGAGTCATGCATGAACAACATACATGCATTGCCTGTAAAAGTTGGGTCCTGCAAATTCTCCTTTTTATGCAATGCAAATTTATCCATATTTATTTCTTATTATTGCATCATTTTGTTTACAAGATATATTTTCAATTTATTATCTTATCAGATTACTCAGATGCAAGAGAAGTTAGATGAGAAACAACAACTTGTTTCTGATTTACAGAAGAAATCAAAGGTATCTTTCCTTCTGTCAGCCATTATTTGGTGAAAGGGGTTGGGTGGGGGGGAATGACATGCCATCATAAGGTAGCCAATTGAGATGATGCATGTTGGTTCTAGTGCTTTTAAGCAAATCTACCGCTATTGCAGCTAGCATTCATCCTCACTGATAGATGAGATGCCTCTGCGGTCTACTTAGGCACTCATTTTTTACCTTATGTCGTTAACCATTTCATGTTTATTACTGAAATGGGCTGTTTGCGTTTCACCTGTTTCTTTCCTTTAATTGTCCTACTAATTTGGTGAATGTAGAAGTTGGAGGACCAGTTGACGACTGCAAAGAAGCTCTCCTCACAGCGTAAGATACAGTTGACAAAGGTAGTTTTAGTTTATTTATATTAAAGAATTTTAGTTGGATTTTTAATAACTTTTTTGGCTAGTCAAGATCCTTTTTTTGGAAGTTCTTGGGGTAAATGATTTCGCTGCTAATTTAATCTGCAGTTACATAAAAGTTTCTTGCAAGTGAAAGAGTACACTGAAAGACTTAAAAGCTCTGAACAGGAGCTTCAGGTTAGAATCTCTGAACTCCAAACTGATGATGAACATGCAAACATGTAACCATCATTATCTAAGTATTATCATCACCTTTTTCTTTTGAGCATTCCGGTCATTATTGTGAGATGTGTTGCATGTTTTGTCATGCACAGACTTGTTATTTTAATGTTGTGTAGACAGTATTTTTAGCGGGCGGCATTATTGCCTCCTAACAGGTCGTAACTTTTCAATTCTTGTAACTCCAATATTAAGGTCCTATCATATATGTCTATATGCAAAAATATATAGTGATTGAAAAATGACAATAGAGTTTAGGAAATGACCATGCAAATTTGGCATGAGATTGAAAATAACTTTAGTCTTTTAAACACATGCTATATTTTTTTTAAAAATTGCTCTCTTTTTAAATTTTGAACACCTATATTTGGCTGTGTAGAGAAGTATATGAATTAGAAAATGAAAACATAAAAAGTGTTTTCTACAACTAAAGCGGGACTTAATATTTTTGTTTGTATCATTTCTTGAAAACGTCAGCTTGTGTTTATGTTTATCTGTTGATAAAAGCAAAAGCATAGCATGTACCCCAAGAAACATCAATACTGTCCTATATATGATTGTAAATTCGAAGTATTGAGGGACAAATTGAATTTATGAGTTGTTCCAGTTTCTAAATGTGATGTCATAAGAAATATTTCATATGCATAATTAAGAAACATGGGATGGTTTATTCTCATTGATAGAGAAGGGATATGAACTAGAATTTCTAAATACATTGGAGGTTGTACTTTTAGCTAATCTACACCTTAATGTAATAGTATGGATAGGATCAAATCTTTAGTTACTTTAGGATTTTTTTACTGTTTAACCTCTATTAAGAATTAAGTTTTTATTTGAATTCTTTAAATATGTTTTGAACTCAAAAATTTGTGAACTCACTTGCAAATCTAAATTTGATTTAACTCGAAGATGAAAATCCTGCCAAAAATTATAAAATTGAGTACATATAGAATTTATATGGAATTGGAAAATTACATTTCAGGATTCAATGATTTACTGGAATTGGCAATGTATTATAATGTGGATTGATGGAATTTGAATTTTTTTTTCGTTTTGACAAGGAATTCAATTTTTTTGTCATCCTGATACAATTTGCTCTTCCTATTTAAATTATGTGTTAATCTGCAAATGAATTACACATTATTTTTGAATTTGTTCCAACTATAGCCTTAGTTATTAGATTAGAACTTTATATTCAAGCATTGTAAATATCTATATAATCTAAAAGTGAGATCTATCTCGAAAAAAAATCTCAGCTTTGAGATCAAGCCATGAGTGAATAGATTATCATGAGAGTTTTCTCAATACCTTGATTGCGAGGCACAGTAAAGTGATCATTAGAATCTACTCAGCATGATGCTTAAGGGATTCTAGGTCTGAGTCTAGTTAATTTTTGGTTCACTATTCAATTCTCAGGTTTAATATCTAAGAATTTGAAGATTTACGCCAAATTCTTGAGTAGACAAATTAATGCTAATTTGTCCTACATCACTCATGATTCTACGTTTTACAGTTATTATAAAGCAACATCAATAACTTCAGATGCTTTGTTTTGATTGATTAGTAAAAAACAAAGTTGTGGCAAAATTGGGCTGGTGAATTTTCAGTATTGAATATAGTTAATGAAATTGGCCCATAGGATGTGAGGATCAGTAAACTATTCACCTGTCTAGATCGATGCAAAAAGGCAATTCTTTTTATGTCTTAGTTTAAATATGTATCATGAGGTTTAATGCTGTGCTTGGAATAAATAAACTTAATTTTTAGAATTCATTTGGAAACCTACACTTAATTTAATTATGAGTGGATTAAAATCCTTTCTATCGTGATAATCAATTTCTTAAAAAATTTGAAACAGAATATTTCAAAATCTCATCAGTTTTGGTTCCTGAAAATTTTTTAGGAGATCAATATTCATTATCATCTTAAGGAAAGTTTCATTCTCATCTAGTCAAACTGAGATTTTAAATAATTTTGAAAAATAACTAATTTACTTAGAACATAACCTAAAAAGATAGCTGATTTACAGAAATGGGAAGTGATAGATAATCTGCACCTGTTGTCATCCTCCCTTTTCCACTGGCTGTTCTCTGCAGATTCCTTTTATCGTCCGATATCTTTTGACTGTAATCATAACATGCAATGAGAGTGAGTGGTGATACAATACACGTTGTAAAACAACTGTTTGTGCTTTTCTGATGTAAGGATTTTCCAGTATGAATTCAAATTTTATCCACATAGACTCTATCATGGTCTGCCCATGAGTGAAACTTCCCAGTGGTATCACTCTAATATTACTG